TCCACCTAGAGACCATGGTGTCGGGCTATTTTGACGGTTCTTTTGGTTATATCATTAATAATTTGCAGCAAACTATTGTTTTTAAAGAAAAATATTCTCAATACAGGATTGGACCAAAGATATAGTTTATCTGTCTAATATCAATAATATACTACTGTCACCACCCTCGTCATTGGTTTATGACAATTCTTTCAATAGCTTCTTCTATTTCAAGTATTTCAGTTGATGATAACAATCATATAAGGCATGATTTCACATACAAAATCGTTTGATTTGGAAATTTTTAAACGTCATTCTACATTATGCATTTTCATATTTGTTCAGCTATACGAGAGACAAATTGATTATTTATATTAAAATTTTAATCATTTTCTTTCCATAGTAAAATCTCTCTTTAACAAGAAGTATCTTCCAATTAACAGTTAATTACTTTACCCAAGTGCCTTATGCAAATACATCTAAAAACTATAATTTAAGCCAGATCTTTATACTATACAAATAAAAATTTTCTTAAATGAAAATTCGAAACTCTATTATTATAGACGCGTATATATTTTTTTAGAATTCTACTGACCTTACTGCAATGAAAAATTAATGGATGGGCCTGCCTCATCAGGCCCAACGGTTCCAACGGTTTCGCCAGTATATTAATTTGCCAGTAATGATAAAATTTCTTTAATTTCCTGGGAATATTTTAATGGTCATCATGATATGGTAGTATAAACAAAAAAACTTCATATATATATTTGAAAACATATTATACGCATTATATTTGTTTAATATGCCTATATACGACATATCAATATATATTCCATCGCTTTGTAAATATATTTATATATTTGGATGAAATACCTATAGAAGATTTCTTTAACTCGAAATCTTGCTAATTATAATAAATTTGTGAAAGAAACCTTTTGCGGAGTATTTTATTAAATATTTTAAAAATAATTCTAGAATGTGTGTTAAGAGAACAAATTCTAAACATAAAAATAAGTGACAACAAATATATTTCTAGTATAAATAAAGACCTAACTTGAAAATATATTTTATTTTCTCAATTTCTTTCGACAAAAATAGTTTGCCTCTTGTAAAGTTATTTTTCACTAAGTATATGATGCCACAGTTTAATAAACTCTAAACAAAACAGTATCATTTATATCTATATATATATAAATGAATGTTTGTATGTTTGTTTGTTTGTATGTCCGGTATACAAATTCGCAGTAGTTCACTATTTAAACCAAAATTTCCATACATAGGTAAAAAAATACGGGGAAGACGATAGGCTATTTTAAAAAATACATAAATCAATTATTAAAACTATATATTCAAATTATTCTACTTAGCTCACGAACAGCGCCCTCTATCAAAGATTAGATTAAATTATGCTGATGCAAACAAATAGATAATGCTAATAAAAACAATTATAAAAAAAATCTTATCTAAATATATATCACTCGGGTAGATATGCACACGGGTCATTCCCGGGGCGAAGCCCGGGTCACCTGTCTAGTACTACATATATATATTGCCACGTGGAAAATTAGGGAAGACCAACTTCGGGATTAGACATCAATTTATTTCAGGCAAGAACAAACTATCAGTGATAAACAAAAAGATAAGTAAAGAGGGAAGTTTACAGAGTAGCAAAATATAAACATAAAAAATGATACTCTGCTAATAAAATAATAATACTTTGTTACAATATTCATATGCTATGACAATAAAAATTTGTCAACTTATACGGTTATATTAAATTTTCTAAGATAAAGATTATTTGCTTATTGTTTTTTTTTATCTATGAGTAAGTTTATGATATTGATATTGCAGTCGTGAACCTCTTAAAAATACAATAATATCAATTTAAAAATCACAATGGGCTTTAATTTTAATAATAAAAGCTCAGAAGACACCGTTTGATAAAGTAAAACCTGATTTAAAGCGTAAAGAATAGAGAAAAATAAAAGATTACGCGTATTTAAAATAATTACAAAAGAATTTGAGCCGGCCAACGGGAAACAACAATAATCTGAAGCCGCAACATCTGGCGGTCTATTTAGAGAGTAATATTTTGTGATCTAGTAAATTATAATTTTAAAATTAAATAATTTTATATATAATATATATATATAAGATTATAATAAATCCATACAGGTAGAGTGTATAAAAACCTATATAACATCTAGGTAGATGTTCCAACTGGAAGGTCAGTTCTATATAGGAGTAATTAGCTCCCGTCTACTGTTTACACGTGAATCCAATATGGCGCCGGTCTTCCAATTTACGGTGTGTAGTAACTACCATATAACCTGTGCTATGGGAGATATGGGAATAGGCAAATTTCTGACACATTCTTTCATTGAGTCGCTGGATTATAATATTGTAAGAGACTTGTATATTAAATATATTAGTTAATTTAATGTGATACTGCTTTTCCAAGTATACAGTGTGCAGTCAACAAGGTATCAGAGCTAGAACACTTTTCTATTATCAAATAAACATATCACATCTCAAAGTAAATACTGTATCTAAAAGATTAGAAGATAGTTGCTCTTATGATACGGTAGGAATTAATGTATATTTATTTTAAAAAAATTAAGTTAATTTTATGCGAACAATATTTCATACGTAGAAATACTATTTATTAAAAGCAAAAATATACTCTAGAAATATTTATTGATAATAATAATGAAATGTTATAATAACACCAATTATTCCTGCTATATTAATCGGTTAATTGGTATTCTAAGCTACAGCTAAATTTATTTATTCCAATATTCCAATTTACAGAGAGAATAGAACATGAACATATTTCTCAACATAAAAGGATATTGATTTGGTCTAATATTCATTTTCTAATACAAACACAAAGACAAACATACCTATATATATAACGGCAATTATTTATTCTAGGAAAAGAGAGTTAAGTTTCAAGAGGATAATACTGCGTTATAGAATTATAAAATATTATATAAGAATCTATATTATTTTTGGAATATTCTCTATATATATTGTGTATAAATATAAATACACAGGCCTAAATATGCATATAATAAAATTAAATATAAATTGGTTTAGGATTAGGTATATAATATATATTTATAGAGAAAGATAAAAGCTTTAAATTTCAATAGATGATAAGGTAGAATTCTAGAATAAAGAAATTTAAATATAAAAATTCTATACAGACATTATAAACAACTGAAGGTTAATAATAAATTGAAATTTCTGTAAACAAACAAGATAAAACTAAGACAAACTAGGAATTATATAGAGGGATATTAAAATTTGTTTCCAAGTTTTCTTTATCTTTTCACCCAGGTCTACATGTTATTTGCGCAATTATAAGATATAAAATCTATTGAATTCCTATAAATTCCTAACTAGACAACTAATCTGCATATATATATATATTTTAAAAATATGCATATATTGGATTTCTAATTATTTTATTGTTCCAATATTTCGAGGGGCAACTCGCCTCTCTTTATCGAGGATGTTTTTGTTTTTCACTAGAACATGCGCGCGCGCGTACACCACTCTCGTTCTACAAGGCCAATGAAAGAATTGTATCTTTGATTTAACTATTGTATTCAGTTTATATACAGCAAATAATTATATTTAACATTATATATTATTATTTTATCTATGAAAGATATAGAGATTTATATACAACAGTGTAATTGTAAAAAATAGTGTGTTTACATATTAATTCTAAATTTAAAAATATTGAAAGTAAAATAAATGAGTAAATTAAAAGTATATACATAGTTATTTATAAATAATTAAGATATGAATTCTTTATAAAATTCATAGATAAAATAATAATCTATAATGTTAAATATAATTATTTGCTGTATATAAACTGAATACAATAGTTAAATCAAAGATACAATTCTTTCATTGGCCTTGTAGAACGAGAGTGGTGTACGCGCGCGCGCATGTTCTAGTGAAAAACAAAAACATCCTCGATAAAGAGAGGCGAGTTGCCCCTCGAAATATTGGAACAATAAAATAATTAGAAATCCAATATATGCATATTTTTAAAATATAATTTTAATTATGGATTGCTAAATCTTCAAAATATATATATATGAAAAAACATTTAAAAAATAAAAGATAAGTGGGTCAGGTTTTGATATTAAAAATAAAGAAGGCATCTCCTGACCACGAGCACATGTGCTTTTTAGATTTTTTTAAAATTGGTTTTTCATGTGTTAAGCGTATTTATGCAAATTTGGTCTTAAATACCCATTTCTTGGTTTCTCAAGAAGCCTCTGCGACCAAAATTATTTTTGGTTACAGTGGTACAGCCAACTCCACGCTGACGAGCGCCAACAGCGCGAAACGCGTTCGTGTATGCCTTTTCTTGATTTATCAAGAAATTGGGTTGGCCAAATATCACGGAGCAAGTTATATAAACGTTTAGTTTATTTTTTCTCCACTAGATGGCGCTCTGTCATCTAAAAAGAACATGTGCTCGTGGTCAGGAAATGCTTCCTTTATTTTTAATATATATATATATGTAACGTTTCTATGATAATCTGTACACGCCAATATACAGATGATATTGTTTTTCGTAAAGAAAAGAGAACAATCAACCGTCTGACTAACTAACTTTATTTCAATCCTTTTATTTATAGGTACATAGATTTACATAATTCCTGACAGCGCAAAAATTTACATCATTAATAATTTACAAGCAGAATGTGACATATATGTATATATGTTATAATATGCAATGGAGTAAGATATTCATGTGAAACCGACTCGTTTTAAAAATGCACCAAAATAAGGTATTTATTTCATTACCCCATTGAAGAACGTTTAGGTGAATATAAAAGCATTTGTTACAACATCCGTTTCAGAAAATTATGATAAAAATCCAAACTGTATACTATTAAAATATACAAGTATCAGAGTCATCAATCAATTCTTAATTTTGTCACCGTTTGCTTTTCTGAATGGAATAAATACCCAAATATGGCCATTTCTTATAAGCATCGGTAGTTCAGTGGTGAAATGCTAGCCTGCCCGGGCCGGGTTCGATTCCCGGCCGATGCATTATTATTATTTTTTTTACAATTTTTAAAACTCATTTATATATTATACAAGAATGACATCCACGGCGCCAATTTATAATTGTAACGAATAGTATTTGAATAAAAGCATTTAATCGGGTAAAACCCGGGCGTTGGCCGGGCCATTCGGCTAGTAAGTTTATATAAAATAAAATGTGTACCTTGAAATGTGGAAAAAAAAAACTTTTTTTTTTCTTTCACAGATCCAGGTAAGCCCTTTTTTATAAACATTTTTAATGGATCTCCTTTTGACTCAACCTGTATACCATAGTTTCGGGCTACAGACCTCACCAGTAAAGGTTTAGATTCCATAACACATGTATCCTATAGGAAAAGCTAGGTAATCGGCCGAAATTGTTCAAATGATGTTTGCATTCAGTTAGTTAGAGATGTAGTTTTTCAATCAGAAACATTGTGCATGAGTAACATATTTAATTCAATATCTATGAATATTATGTAATTAGAGAGAGATAATTATAAAACTAAAAAACTTAATAAAATAAGTAAATTTAAATAAAGTGGCAAAATGATTCTGTATATATCAGGCATTGAATATTCAAGCTGCTACAGTAAAGTGTTGATACAAAATGTATCGCTTTTTGATGTTTTGTAAAACGGTAGAAGTGCTTTCGTACCTCTATATTTATTTGAGCAGTTTGTATAGATTGTGATTTATAATACAACAACAACAATAGCCTTTATTGGGCACACGTGCCATACAGGATTTTCTCCCGGTAGTACAAAATAAATAAATAACAGATTAGCAACATAGTTATATACAAATATTGGGTATTGACCTCGACCAATTATCGAGTTGGATCCGGTGTCTGTGCTAAACATTTTGATTGAGCTGATTTCCAGTATTTATAAAAAGCGAATGCAAAGGGTCTGGATTTTACAACTTTTGCCTTTAAAACATAAGGCGAATTGCTATTATAGCCGGTCTCTTGACGAAGAATTTCTCTTTCTTCTTCCATTGCCGTACAGTAGAACATGTAGTGTGGAAAATCGAGACTAAATTCACCGTTGCATAAGGTGCATTTTATGGTCTTAGTTTTCAATAGTGAAACATGATTAATTCTCTGTACTACAAAAAAGGCTTCTTACTTGTGCAATGATTCTCTTTAAGGTTAGGGGGATATTGTCATTCAGATAGCATTCCATTGTAGGTGATGAATGAAAGTATTTATAGTGAGAGTGGAGTACCGATTTTATTATTCTTACATTATCCAGCTGCAAGGACTGATCGTTTGCCGTTCTAATAATTAGGGGGATGTATCTTTGTAGAATATCGAAGTCTGTACATCCAACAAGCCAGATTTATAATACATGTTCATTCCTAGTTCACGATTTATTAAAATCAACAAGCAAAACAAGGATAGGTTTCTTTACCTATTTTCATTTCTCTAGGCTTCGAACCAACATGCCCCCTTCAGCAGAAAAACGAGAAAGTATGACTATAGTTAGCAAGAAGTCATATTTCGAGTTCTCCTATTGAAAGACCCGAAAGCAAGAGAAATAGAAAATAGTTGAAGAAACCTCGCTCTGGATTTGAATAATTTTATTTTCGAATTTTCTTTCAATATATGTGTATTCATTTTATATTCCTGTAAAGATTCTGTCATATTTGAAGCATATTTTAGGCTAGAAGATAATATTCAAAATCATGTTTTATTACCACTATGAAAATAAATTATTCTATAGATTTTGATTAACAATAGAGAATCCTAAAATATGTTGTATATAGCTGTTAAAAAACCCCACACAAAATATAAAAGATGTATATAGAAAATAATTTTAAAAAATTATATTTTGAAAAATAAAATTGCGAAATTCTTTTTTACTACAACCTCACTACTTTAATATAAAATTTTAAAATATTTTGAAAATATATTTAAAGTTTTCTCTTTTATAAATAAATTTCATAGTGAATAATTATCTTTATCGATTTTATGGCACAATATAAATATGTAAATATTTTACTTCTACACTATCTCTTGAATTTAATACCTTTCACTATTGTTTTTACACAATATTTTATTCAAGGAGAGATCAAACTAATGAAATATGTGTAAATTCAATCTCTTTATAAATATATTTGAAAATCACACATTTATTAATAGTAAACCAATATTTATATATTGAGGCACATATATATATATATTGTGAAATCAATTAATATATTATTATATTTATCAACATTCCAATAAATGAGAAGCTATGATTCTCAAAATTCAAATGAGTACACGCTCTCGCTTCAGGCCATAATTCCCTAAATGTATCACTGCGTTTGATAAAAACAAATTCAATAAAACTTCCCACAAGTTTTCAAGAAATCTCCTTTTGAATAAACAATGATATCTATTATGGGGGTAACATATATATTCAAATAAAAAGTACATTGTGATTTCTGACTTACATATTAATATGCAAATAAAATAACGTGTTACAAGATGTGGAATCGCCGAATATTATTGTTAAAAAGAGACCAAAGGTCTCTCCTTCTTTTTTTTATTTCCACTCAATCATATTAAGATATCAAGATTTTGAAGCTTGAGATTTGACAACCATCTATGACTAGGTGAAGTAGAATACATCTGTCTTTGTCATTAAGACTGGGAGCACTACTCAGTGGCAGGCCGACTTAGCTCCATAAGAAATGGCCGCCTCTGACATGAGGAACAGACACCATGTGCAGCCGCTCCTAACATGGAGTACAAACGCTGCTCATCCTGTATCCCTGGATCAGAAGCCCTTACAGGGTACTATCAGCCGGGCCAGCTGAGCCCAGGTTTTTTAGCGAGCTTGTTACTGCTCCCCCTCCTTCTTTTTCATCCGGGCTTGGGACCGGCAAAGGTAGAGTTAAAAGACCAAAGTTAAAAACGACGAGCTTCTATTTTGAGAAGATAGAAGCTTGGCAAGCTTTTAGACATGTAATATGAATACAAGACTGTTAAAGGACGTTATTATCCGAAAGCTCGCGAAGCTTTTATCTTCTCAATAAAGACACTATCTCTTCACCGTTGGTTTTTTATCTCTTCTTAAAATTAACATGTACAATATGTAAATATATATAGGTATTATAAACATAGTTCTGCTGCAAAATAAATTGAGATTAGTAGATGCTCTTGTTTTGATACATGAAAACATTTTAATGTTATTTTTATTTCAGTCGTGGACATCTTAGAAAATACAATAAAATCTATTTAAATAGCAATTTTCTTTAATTGTGCTGCTAGACATAATTAAAAAAAATATATATAAGACATAATTTGAGAAAGTACTGCCTTACTTAAAGCGCGAAGAATAAGTAAAATAAAAGATTATGTTTTTATTACGTCAACATTAGAAGCTATCTATTGACCGTTGCCGCAAGATAGCGACCTGTTGGTGTCAAAGCTAAAGCACTAGCTTTGGCAATCTGAGAAGCCTCCACCAGGATACCATGGTTTCAAGCTTAGACCCTAGTTAGTCATAGCAAGCTTTATTTCATAGATCTACAAATAATCAAATAAAATCTCTACAATCTTCCAAAGATTGTTTAGCTTATAAAGTAGCTAGGCCATATCTATAGCTAAAATATATATGGAATGTATTCATAGATCATTATCCTCCCCGCGAAATTCCCATCTATATTTTTATGATGTAATACATCAACAAAAGCTCTTATTAAGAAATTTCATTTAAAAAGACTCGGCCTTGACCCCAAGTAGAAGGAGGGGGAAGAAGCATTAATAAAATAAATATGGCCATCAGGTATTTATAATATTGGTGGAGAGGTATAGCAACCACTGCGTGTCTTTTACACTCATGGACAAAACTTAAGGAATCCTAAGCCTCTGTCTTATTAAAATAACAGGCAATCGATAATACTGAAGACTTTCCACTTCCTTTTGTCCTTGAGTGTAGCTAAATAGCTCTATAGAAAATTAATACTTTTTATATAATACATATTCATTCCTACCTTCACAATATAACTAAATTAATAAGCAATCCAGAGCCTCTTTATTTCTCACGCTTCGGACCAATATGTCTTTCAACAAGTTCTTCTAGGTCTACTGTTGAACAGCATATTTCCCGAAATCTTGAAAAATAAAGAATGGATAAAAGAGACCTGGCCCAGGATTGCTTATTGATTTAGTTAAATAAATACTTTATTAATAACTTTTCAATATTTGTGAAATCAAAGCTCATCCAGGAATGGCCAGAGTCATTGCCTGAGACCATTATCTCCAGGTGAGCTTCATACAATTGCCAAAGCTGGTATTGTGACTTTGTCACTGCCTCAAATCTGATAAATTGCATACATAAGATTTTTGATTAAAGTATTAGACTATTTTTTCAATCAATTTATTCCAAACAAAATTTTCCTTCAATGTATGTTCATCGTTTTAATGCATAAAGGAACTAAAAAGGCGCCTCTCTAATAAATTATGCATCAGAACAAACAGACAATGCATTAGGCTTATCAACATAGTAAAGGCCTTTATCGTTTGTAATATGTAATAAGCCACCGTACAAATTTAGGGGAATTCTAACACCAAAATTCCAACTTTTATATGTGCAATTAATATTGTAAATAATATAAAATAATCAACGAACATTAATAATAGTGCGATTTGGATTATATATTTATCACTCTCGTTCAAATGTTAATCATTTATCGCAAAAAAAAAAAAATCAAATAATCGACAACAATTTTGGTAACAATAATACGATTTGTATTATAGATCCTTCGCTCTCTCAAAAAATAATTATTTATCACCAACAAAATAAAAAATCGATTATAAAATAATAAACAAGTATATATACCAAAAGGATAAGGACAACCAAAAAAAAATCTATCGGGCTATTAAATTAAAGGAGGAGAGGCATAATCTTTTTGTAAACTCTTCCCCATTCTATAAGCTCTTATATAAAATTGGAAGGAAATCTCTCCACAAACAAAATGCCCTTAATTCTGGTGTCAGGATATTGATCGGT